CCGGCCGCGCCGAGAGGAGGTTCGAGCTGTCCGTGCTGGGTGAGGCTGGCGGCTGCTCCCATGGTCCCTCCGGAGGCCGGGTCTCTGCCAGGGCCGCACTGGGGCCACCAGCCCTGTTCTCAAATCAGGACCAGTGCTAACAGCTGGACTGCCCGGTCCGCGTCCCCCTTCCTCTTCCCCCCCCGTCCTCCGTATTTGCTGTTCCTTACTCTGTTCCTAGCTGACCGCTTTCCGATGGTGGGTACGATGTGATAGGGAACTCAGGGCACTGAGAGACCAGGGAGCCCCGCAGGCTCTGGTGGGAGGTCAGGGCTGCCCCTGGAGGGGTCACTTGGTGCTGAGACAGAGTCGGGCCCCCACTGGGCGACAGGAAGAGGAAGCCAGGTAGGGCAGCACATTCATTCCAGTCCCTGCCTAGGTACCTCCTGGTTGCCCAGCTGGGCGGTAGAGGGGTCACCTTCTCATCAGGCCTGGCCTCCCAGGGACCCTGAGCTTACCCGGCCCTCCACTTTAGGACCAGATCCTGGGGAGGACGGGGTCCTAAACAGCTCCTCTCTGCTCAGTGCCCCCGGTGCTCCTGGGAGACGCAGACCCTCTGACCAATGTCACCGCTGCCTTCCATGGCCCCTTGACGCTGCTCTGCGAAGCCACAGGGGTTCCCCCGCCTGAAGTTCGCTGGTTCCGGGAAGAGGAGCCCATCCACCCCGGGAAGGACACCTACCTGTTGGCAGGTATGGTATCGGCCAGGCTGTGTCCTTCAGGTCTGATTCCCTCTGTCCGCAGCGTGACTGACCTCTGGCCCCAGCCCCACGGTGGGGAGAGGCACATAAGTTCCTTTGCTGTTCCCCTGCTGCTGACCCAGAGTGATCATTTTCACAGTAAAGGTTCTGACAAATTGTGCAGCCAGGAGCAGGCTTCAGGAAGGACTGGTCCCAGTACCTCCTCTGCTTTATTCCCCACGAGATGGATCTGTGATGGTTCTCACTGGTAAACAGGAAGGAAACTGAGGCCCACACCCTCCTCCCTCCCCAGGTGGCTGGATGCTGAGGGTGACCCAGGCCCAGGAACAGGACCGAGGTCTCTACTCGTGCCTGGCCAGCAACGAGGCCGGAGAGGCGCGGAGGAACTTCAGCGTGGAGGTCCTGGGTATGTCGCAGCCCCGTTCCTGTGGGTGCCCCGGAGTCCTTGGGCCTCCTGCCTGGGGGCTTCTGGGCCCAGGCAGGGAAGGGGGAGAGGCCAAGCCTTGCTACTTGGCCTTATCAAAATTCCTGCTCCGAGGCCACGGTGGAACTTTCTAGAAGCAGCGGGACCGCACACAATAGAAGGGGAGAAATACTTTCAAGGGTTTGTCCACAAGGCACTGAGGTTTCCCTCACCCTGCAGGAAATGTGCACTAAACCCTCTGCCCATGGAAGCAAGTGCCAGGGCACAGGAAAAGCAAGGCACGGGACAGTGAGGTGGAGCCCTGGGCTCTTGGCTTTCTGCCCTGTGGTTGTGCACTTGGAGCCGCCAGCCCTGCTTGGGAACTGGCGTCTCCGCACTTCCCCTAGTTCCCCCCACTATTGAGAACGAGGACCTGGAGGAGGTGGTGAGGGTGCCCGAGCAACAGACGGCCCAGCTGACCTGCAACGCCACAGGTGAGGGCCACGCCACTCCCCCGGGGCCCCGGGACGTCTGCAGAGTGTGCTTCTCCCCAGCGCCCTCCTGTCCCTGCTGACGGCACCTCTCCGCCTCTAATGCTGCCCCGCCGGAGTCCTTGGCCGGCCCCTGAGGCCTGGGCTTCCTGCCCAGCCTGACTAATGGGACAGGAACTGGTATCAGCTGAGATCCTGGCGGAAGCGGCTTCTTGTTTCCATGGCAGGGCTGCCGTTAATGCTTATGGGATGAGGGATGGGTGGATGGAGGGTGGATGGAGGGCTAGGTGGGTAGGTGGACAGACAGCTGTCTGGACAGAGGAATTGGCAGACGAGTGCGTAGGAAGGTGGATAACTGGATGGATGGATGGGGGCAGCAGAGCCGGTGAATGAATGGACGGGAAGGTGAGAGGAGAGCTGTGGCTCTGTCTCGCCCTCTGTGCCGTGCCCTCTCCGCCCAGGGCCGGAGGCAGCGCGGGCCTGGTGTGGCTTCTGACCTCTGCTCCCTTTGCTTCAGGCCACCCGCAGCCCAGCGTCACCTGGTTCAAGGACGGCCGGCCCCTGGCTGGTGGAGACGCCCGCCGCATCTCCCCGGACGGGGCCCGCCTGTGGGTCCTCCAGGCCAACCTGTCCCACGCCGGCCACTACTCCTGCATGGCCGCCAACGCCGTGGGGGAGAAGACCAAGCACTTCCAGCTCAGCGTGCTGGGTGAGGGCTGGGTGTCGCCGGGCCCCTGGGCGCTGGTGGGAGGTGACCAGCTCCTTGGTGCTGCTCTTTCTTCTCTGGATTTGATGACGGTAACAGCAGCGGTGACTCGGCGCTGAGTGAGGCATTTGGTTACATCCTCACGGTGCGCCTGGGAGGTAGCAGACGAGTCTGTCCCTGTGTCACTCATGAAGCTCTGAGGCTTAGAGTGGGGATGTGGCTCATGCCCAGGGCGTCCGTCCCCCAAGGACGATGCGCCACATGCTGTCTCTTTGGTGGGGGGAAAAAGAGGATGGGCCAAGCGAGAAGGCCCAGGCTGGCTTGGTGACTTCCGCTTCTGAAAATGCTGGGTGTGAAAGAGGAAACTTTAGGACCAGTACGAACAGAAAGCCCCCTGTGCCTTCCGCCCAGCGCAGGGAGGGGTACACACTGGAAACACAAGCGGGACGGAGACCATTTGTGTATCTACTAACGTCGATACGCTGGGTGTTGAGATGTTACTACTAGGGATCCTGAGGCGGAAATGAGCTGTCTTTCCCTTGTGCACGGATCCGCAGTGGGAAACCTGGGCTCTGGGCAGCCAGGCCTGAATTCAAGTCTCCTCTGAGCCTCAGTTTCCTGTCTGCGTAAGGCACGCAGCTGCAGCACGAGGCTGAGGGGCAGGGCTTGAGGCCGCTCTGGCCCTCAGTCGGGGCTGGGGACCTGCGCGAGGGTACCCTGCCGCCCCACAGTGCTGCCCACCATCCTGGGAGCGGCCAAGGATGGTGCCGGTGAGGAGGTGACCGTGACCATCAGCAGCCCCATCTCTCTGATCTGCGAGGCGCTGGCCTTCCCCGCCCCCAGGATCACCTGGATGAAGGATGGGGTCCCTTTCGAGGCTTCCAGGAACATCCAGCTGCTCCCAGGTGACGTCCTCTGGGCAGGGACAGTGGGCCCGGGGGACGCGGTCAGACTGGGTCACCGGTGCTCACAGTGGCTGCGGCGCCGGCCCCCGATCAGGTACCCGCGGGCTGCAGATCCTAAACGCCCAGAAGGAAGATGCGGGCCAGTACACCTGCGTGGTCACCAACGAGCTGGGGGAGGCCACAAAGAACTACCACGTGGAGGTGCTCAGTGAGTCGGGGGCCCGAGCACTGGCCACGCAGGACATCCCAAGGCACCTTACGAATTCAGGGGCCACGTTAGGATCCGGCTTCATGGACTCCCAGCACCCGAGGCCTGGCTTCCTTCTGCAGGGTCCTCCTCCTAGACCGGGACCCCAGAATGGCCCCCAGAGGTCACCCCAGGAGCCTCCACCTCAGACCCGCCCTGTCTCTCTGTGGCCATCACAGGCAGACGCCTGGTCCCTAGTGGGCAGCCCTTCCCCCACTCCTGGTGGCTCCTCACACTCTGTGATGTCTTTCAGTCCCCCCTTCCATCTCCAGAGACGGCCCCGCGGCGGAGCTGGGCGTGAAGGAGGTGAAGACCAAGGTGAACAGCACCTTGAGCCTGGAGTGCGAGTGCGGGGGGGCGCCCCCACCCGCCATCAGCTGGTACAAAGACGGCCAGGTGAGTGCGGGGACCACAGGCGGGCCTCTGCCCACCCCCTGCTGGGTGAAACACTCCAGAAAAGGCAGACCAGAGAACTTCTGAGCACAGCTTGCCTGGGCCCTGCCTTGCCTTTTATTTTTTATGTATTTATTTTAGTTTAATTTAAATTTTTTTTAATTTACTTCTGCAGCCCTGGGGATTGAGCCCCGGGGCATTTATGAGGAGCTACATCCCCCGACCTTTTTATTTTTTAATTTATTTTATGTGGAAACAGGTTCTCACTAAGTGGCTGAGTTTCCCAGGCTGGGATTGAAGTCACAGTCTCCTGCCTCAGCCTTCCAGACGGCTGGGGTTGCAGGCCTGTGCCAATGTACCTAATACAGCCTTGGCTTTTAACCCAACTTTCTAAAGGGGACAAGTCTCGCACGCACTAAATGCCACTGTTTTTACCCTGTCCCTTCCAGTCTTCAGGCTAAATGGCTTTGCCTTTACAAAGTCAGGTACTTCTGTGACTTTGCACGGTGCTTTTAAAAATCAATTGCAGCGTGAGTGCCTTCATCTCGCCGCTCCCTGCCCGTTTCTGACTGTCCCCTCTTCTCCTTCTCCTCGTCCTCCCCAGCCCGTGACCCCCGGCGAGCGCCTGCGCATCCTGGGCGAGGGCCGCCTGCTCCAGATCCAGCCCACACAGGTCTCGGACTCTGGGCGGTACTTGTGCGTGGCCACCAACGTGGCGGGCGAAGACGACCAGGACTTCAGTGTGCTCATCCAGGGTGCGTAGCACCGCGCGGCCGACAGGGGGCGCTGAGAGCCGAGCTGTGGCCGGCAGCCCACGACCCACGCAGGTGTTTCCCACGCTTCCCCGCCACCCAGGGCAGAGGAGATGAGGCTCAAGGGAAGGGCTCTCCCCGGAGTCACAGGATTGCGTATGGAATGGGCCCGATGGAGCCAAAACCCCGAGCTCTAGGACCCTCTGGCAGACGCTTTATCAGGAGACGTTGGGGAGAGTAGGTGGAGGGGCCGGAAGTGATACGTGTTGGGGTGTTGGGGATCTTTATCATCTCCTCCGTGCTTTTGCTAATGTTTGACATTTTCCTCTCAAAGAAGTGAAGGCACTAGGGGTAGACGTAGTTGTTAATTTTATCTGTACAAGAACGAGGAGTTACAGCTACAGAGGAAGGGGGGGCGCTGCCCAAGGCTGGGAAGGGCTTGTTTGTTCCTCTCTAGGCCCTGCTTCATTCCCCACCGTGATGCGCTGTGTAACAGGTCTGCTGGAGAGCATCATCGTCATCGTCATTATTAATTTCTGTCACGAGGGTGTGCTCGGTACAACCTACTGAGCACAGGCTGGTGCTCGGTTGAGGCCCTCAGCTGGGTGGGCGCGGCGTGCCTGCCTTTCAGTCTCTATGACTGGCTCAGTGTTTTTGACAAGTAGGGGTAGGAGGCAACGGAGAATGATAACAAAGAGGATAAGAAGCTCACGTTGCCCTTGTGACTCTGTCGATCTTTAAACTTCGGCTGTGCGTGGACTGGTCAGCGTCTAGAGTGACCAGAGCAGGACTGTCATCTGGTGGTGGCCTGATCTTGTCATAGGATCAGCTGCTTCGGTGGTCTGGATCCCGTTGGCTGCTCTGTTTGTCTTGAGCCATTGGCTCTAGCCGGCTGTGGAGACCTAAGTCACAGTTCCTGTTATTTTAGCAACAAAAATAAACAGGACTACAATATGAGGCTCTTACCATATGGGCCCTATGGGTTTTTTTTTTCTTATTTTTTGATCCAGAGTCCCCTGGTTTGAATGGGTGTACTAGGTCTGTTAAGCTTATGTGTATTTTTTTTTAATCACTCAGCTAGGGATATCTTGCAGGGCTATTTTTAAAGCCTGTATTTGTTTTTTCACAGACAGTTTTTCTAGTATAATTTTTTTCTTTAATTTGACCTGTGATTGGGGGTGGCCAATTGAGCAGAATTTTGCAATGCGAATACCCAGTTTGTATGGTGGAGGTGTACTGGACTTGGAGAACCATGGGCAGGACTTGATCTCATCTCAAGTGAGGTTTTTTTGACAATAGTTTTTAAAATAATTGTTTGAGGGTCTGGCTCACGTGATTTGTTTATTTATAGCTCTGTGGCTGATAAGCTGTATGAAGCTTTTATTTTATCTTTAACATCTGTGTGAGCTCTTGGACTATCCGTGGTGTGACCCCAAGGTCAAAGGCCATCTAAATCTTGGGATGATGTCTCCTACCGGTGCCTTGGTCCCCTCTCATGCTCCTCTTGTTCAGGTGGGGAAGGCTTTCATCTGTTCTGAGAAGATGTGGGCAAGCACCAGTGTATACTGATAGTCACCAGCTCAAGGCATTTCAGTAAAGCCCGCTCATATGGGGCAGCTCCTGTGTCCTGGGTACTCAGGGGCTGGGAGGGCTTTGTCTTTGGTCATTCTGTGCCCAGATCAGGCACTGTTCAGAGACTCTGGGTGATGGCTGAGTCTTGACACATAGGAGTGGCCCTCAGCATTGTCCCTGGAGCTGTTTTTCCCATACGTGACCCTTGATGGACTTCTCTTACAAACCTGGGGCCCAACATCTCAGGGATAGCCAGCTTTCCACTAGAGAACTTTTATCAACCTCCTTTTATATAGTTTGCAGCTTCTTGGGCAAACCAGGCTTTTCCCCATGATGAATAATTTGGGGGATTTATGGGATGTGTGACATGGCCAGGGCCCCCCTTCTTGGGAGTGCCGGGGCACTTACTTTGTCTTCTGGTCCATTTTGGGGGGTGCTTTTAATGTTCTAGTCTTTTGATGCCCCCTACATTGCAGGACGGTTACCTTCTTGGTGGCCCATATAGCATCAAGGAGTTGAAAAATCTTTTTTTAAAAAATATTTTATTTTCCTGTAGCTGTTAGGAGTCCCTTTATCTATGGCTCCATCCATGGTCATGTAACGTTGTAAAGGCATATCTGGAATCCATACAGATGTTAGCTTTTTATCTTTTGTTCTTTGTCTTCTGGGCTGAAGTTTTGGTGGATGGAGGTTTGGCCTCTATCACACAGTCTAACGTCAACATTACATATCTTGTCTGTTGGGGCTCCTTTCAGCAACATTTGGGTCTCTGAGAGCGCCCTTGAGAATATTTTGTCTGTGATTTTTACTCCTGATGGGAGGCTTCTGGCTCAACAGGGAGCAAAGTAGCAGGAAGAAGAACGTTCATATAGGGCCGGGGATTTAGCTCAGTGGCACCACACCTGCCTTGCAAGTGCAAGATTCTGAGTTCAATCCCTGGTACAAAGAAAAAGAAAAAAAAAAAAGACTGCTCATAATCTCTAGGGTTGCATAGGGAATTTTTTTATGGGAGCCCTTAATTTGAGTGTTTCTGGGGTTTATAAGTGATGGTGTCTTCTCTGTTCCATCAAGGTTATGACTGAATCTGCATCAGCAGGGCATTGGCAGCAAGCACTTTAAAGCATGAAGGCCGCCCCAGGGCCACAGAGTCTTATTTGTTTTGACAAGTGTGCCATCAGGCAGTGACAAGTTTTCAGGCAGTGGTGGGATCCTGTGACCTGTGTCAGGACCCTTATGACCATTTCCTTTTGTTCCTGGACCTGCAGGAAGAAAGGCTTGGTTGTGTCTGGCAGCCTCAGGGCTGGAGATTGGGTGAAGGCCTTTTGAGTTTGATGGAGTGCCCTCTCCTGTTCAGCTTCCCAGAGGCGGGGCTCCTTTTCCTCCCCCTCTGGCAGCTTTACCTAAGGGCTTAGCCGTGAGTGAGACGTTAGGGACCTGGATGCACAGAAACCTGCCACCCCCAGAAGCTCTCTTACCTGGCATCTGGCAGTCGGGGTGGAGAGGGTGCAGACAGCTTGTTTTGGTTCAGTGCCCATCGATAGTCCCCTTTGGTTACTATAAACTCAGATACCTGACCTTTTGTTGGCAAATTTGAGCTTTTCTTTTTGGACATCTTCTGTTTAGCCTTTCAGAGCAGGCGAGGAGGATCTCTGGTCCCTTGGAGACAGCCCTCATGTGAGGGAGCTGTGAAAAGATCATCTACGCGTTGTAATAAAACACAGTCACTTCTTGGTGTGAGGACGACCTTGCACAAAGATTGTGGTCATCCTTATTTCCTGGGGAAGCCTAGTCCAAGTGAATTCTCTCTCTTTTTTTTTAACGCCAGCAACTGGGTCCTCCTGTTGAAATGTAAAAGTGGGGTTGATGGATTGGTGCCGAACAGAGACAGAAAAAGGCATCTTTCAAGTCCAGGCAAGTGAAGCAGGCAGCACGGGCTGGGATGAGTCCCAGTAGTGTATGTGGGTTTGGCAGCGAACCCGTATGGTTTCCAAGCCTGATTTACAGCACATAAGTCTTGTACTGGCCTACATTTCTTAGTCCCTGCTTTTTATGTACTGACAAAAGCGAGGCGTTCCAAGAAGACTGGCATTTGATCCGGATTTTCTTTTTATTATAAGCCTCTTTAGTAGTCCCTGGATGCCTTGCACAGCTTCCTGGGAAGGCGATATTGGCAGGCTCATCTTGGAGTTGCCCCTAGTCTCAGTTCCATTAGTCTTGATTTACAGCTGGTGCTGTGGGCCGACTTCAGCTCATACTCTGGGAACTGTCTGCGTCAGCCTGTACCCTTCACTTGTGGCCGACCCGGCTGGTTTATCGAGCACGATCTCATCGCTCAGCCTGTGGAACTGTGAGGGTTAACTGGGTGGGTCAGATCGTTTTTTTCTCCTTGTGGCCCAAAGGCAATTTGGGCTTGTAATTCGTGAAAAAAAAACCTCTTCCCAGCAATGGGACTGAGAAGCTTGGGAGGGATAGGAGCTCATGTCCGGTGTCTCTTCCCCTGTAACACACGCCTTGGGCTACTCCAGTAGCCCGACAGCTTACATCATGTGCATTGATTCCAAGCTCGTTTCTGACAGCTCCTGGGTTGTTCTTGTGCAGCTCGGCCTTCGCCTTGTTTGTTTCTTTAAGCCTCTGGTCACCTTCCTGTTTTGCTTCTCGATCATGATTAATGCATACCTTAGTGACTGCCACTTTCGGGAGGCGAGTAATACTTATGCCAGCCAACTCCACTAGCTTTTGTAATTTCTTCCTGATGTCACCCTGTGCCTGTCCCACGCAGCTGTATTTTCTGTGCACTGATTTTAGTTGCCGCTGGGTTAGAGGGAGTGGGTGCTCTGGTTGTTGTCCACCCTGAGTAACCACTCTGTGTATACATTTGGTTTCTTTCCCTGGCCAGCCGCCCCGTATCACCACCCTGACTCCGGGGGGTCCGCTTTTACCCCACAGCCTCCCATGAGCCTCTTTGTGAGTTCTTTAGCACATATCCTAATGGGCTGAACTTTGATGTTTTTCTCTCATATCTACTCTGTTGCAATACAAATTGTTTTCTCAAGTCCTTCTGTTTTAGGAATAACTTGAGATCTATCAAGTTAACAGGCAGCCATATCCAATTCTGAGTCTTTTGAGCAAGAAGGAGCTTTTGGAAGGACAGCACTGGCTTTCATCAAACCAACAAGCAAACGTACCCATTTTCTTAGATAAATTACCTCTATATTCTTTTTCTCAGCATTTGTAAGCATGTTAGTCTTGTCCTCATCCCTCTTTTTATCTTTCTAACAGGATAAAACTTTTATCGTATAAAATATTTTTGTATCAATAGTGTAATTTGTGTACTTGGAGCCTTTCTTAATATTTCCCTCCATCTCATTTACTGTGACTCTGTTACGGCAAACTTGCCTGCAGCTCTTTGAATTTTAGAGGTTTTTTTTTTTCTTTTTAAAAATTCTTCCCTCATGTTGTTACATTTTAAATTTAACTGGCTGCCAGTGGACCTCAAAGTAACCTTGAATTAACGTTTTTATCAACTCCATAATTACAATGTAAAATTTTGCATTGTATAAGAAATGTTTTAAGCACACCAGTGAAATAAAAACATCAACTCAAATTGGAACCCAAAAGCACATTTATCAACTAGCTAAACTTTGTGGTTTGAGTCTTCTCGTAAAACCTGTTTGTATCTGTCAGGATGCAGTCGCAGCTTTTTAACTTTCACCGTTCAGCCACGACTGGGACGGCACTGGCCCTGTGGCTCCAGAACCCTCCCCACGTCTCACTCCACTCTTTCTGGTGATTTGAAATGAAAAGATGACCTTTGCTTTGCCTCTTTAACACTTGGTGGGTGCAGCTGGAGCTAAGGGTTTGTGCTTTGCGCCCTGGTCTCAGCCCAGCCTCAGAGGCGTTCTCTCTCTGTCTCCGTCCGGTCCGGGCTGGGTCACCCTCATCACCGTTCCGCCCATTTCACCAGGTTTTGTTTTTTAATCAGCTTGTCTGTGAGGCCCACTAAAGCTAAGCAGCTTTCAGCATGCCTTTGCCCTTTGTCGCATAAATCACTCCCTCGGTTTACTTTTGCTTTTAGACCTCAGTACACCTGGGTGTGAGTTCCGTCCGACTCCCCGAGTCCGCTTGTCACAACCTCTGCAGGTCACTCTCCTCGCAGGCCTGAGTTAGCAACCGCTGCTGCGTGGGGCTGTCGAGTTCATGTGACTCAGTCCAGACGGCGCCGAGCCTCTCCCACGGTGGGCCGCTCTCACGTCCCTGGCACCCTCAGGAGCCGATTCTCATTGCTGGCCACTCCTGCTCTCGGTGCTGGTGCAGTCCGATTACTCAGTGCTCCCCAGGAAGGACCAGCTTCCCCTGTCTGTACGGGACGGGCTCCCCCTGGGGGCCCTACCTTACTGTGACCGCGGAGGGCTTCAGCAGTGCCCTGATCCCCTCCGGTTTCTTTGGTGTTGCTGATTCCCTCTGGGAGCTGAAGTCTCGCCCCACCGCTCCAGGCCCGCAGGCAAGGGAGACAGCAGCTCTGTTGTCTCCAGTCCCTTCGTGGTCCCAGAAGTGTTGCAGAATTCCAAGAGACAGGAGAGACCTAATGAGTCAGGAGGGTTTCCTTAAGGTGGCTGCACCCGCTCAGGGGATGCTGTCCGAGACAGCTGAGCGTTGGGCCGAGAGGAGTTTCCGCTTTTATACACACATTTTGTGATACTGCGTTTTGTGGAAGAGGGTGGCTTCTCTAGTGACGTGGCAAGTGTACTGGAACAGGACAAGGGCGGACAGTTCCGGATATGAGGACAGTGTCGTAAACTGCCTCCAGGACATCGTTAATATTCTCTGTCCTAGAACAAGCGGTTACAGCTACAGAGGAGAGGGGGTGATGGGTGGGAACTGCCCAAGGCTGGGAAGGGCTTGTTTTTTTTTAAAGTCTCCCTTCGGGGAGGAAGGCAGGAAGTAGGCCCTGGTGACCAGGCCAAGCAGCTTAGTTTTGCCGGGCACCTTGCCACCGTGGCCCTGCAGGTGGAACGCCCTCTGCACCCTCGGGTGCCTCTGGGCCAGACCCTTCGCCCTGGCTCTGTCATTCGTGGTCTGAGGGACTTAAGGGTGTCGTGTCCTCTCCAACCTGTAGTAGGTGATCAAAGCAGGTGGCCTTGTGGCCCCTTCCGGCTGTAGAAGCTGGAGATTTTGTAGTTCTGTTCTCTGATAAAGGGGTGCAGACCAGAGCTTCCCATCCTGAGAAATTTCTCCAAGTTACAAGGAGGCTTTGATGCCCATTAGAGGAGGGCTCTGTCGGGTAGGAAACATATCCTGGTCCTGGCACACAGTAGCTGCTCAGTAAGCACAGTGTGAGGATTTAACAGTTCCTTGCCCGGAAGGAGCGGCTGCAGCGTGGAATTGTGCACCTCCTACCCTGGCCAGGTATCTGAGAGCAGAGGTGCACTCCCTGGCTAGGTTCCCTCACAGTGCTGTCTCCCCGCCCAGTGCCTCCCATGTTCCAGAAGGTGGGTGATCCCAGTGCCGCCTTTGAGATCCTGTCCCAGGAGGAGGAGGAGGAGGAGGCCCGGGGTGAGGTGATGGAACGTCGAGAGGTGGTGGAGAACAACCCGGCCTACCTGTACTGCGACACCAATGCCATCCCCCCGCCAGAGCTCACTTGGTACAGGGAGGACCAGCCCCTCTCAGACACTGACAGGGTCTCCGTGTTGCAAGGTACATGGGTGCCTGAGCGCCCCCTGCTGTGTGACCCTGGGTGGTTTTGAATTCCGAGGCTCCAAAGGAAGGGCTAGAAATTCCTGGCCTTCCCGGATGGCTCCCGGCTCCCAGTGTGCCAGGTGCCAGCTGGTGCCGGTGGTGTGGACCCACATCAGGTCTGTGGTCCTCAGCTTAGCAACTGAACTGTGTCCTGCCAGGTCCCAACTGCAGCAGTGCTAAAAAGGGGACCCGGGACCCCCAATAAGTGAAGTCAGACCAAGCTCAGTGTTTGGCACCTGTGAAAGAAAGAGGTTGCACAGCTGGTTCTGTCGGCAGTCCCAGGATGACCCTGCTCCTGCCTGTGACCTCTGACCATGCCAAGGGGGCTCAGCCACATGCAGATCCTACCGTGGGTTAATCCCAGCCACCAGCCAGAGCCGGGCCGGCCACCCCCCATCTGCTGCCAGCCTCTGACCTCGGCCATGGCCCTCGTTCCTCGTTCAGGCCACCCCCCATCTGCTGCCAGCCTCTGACCCCGGCCATGGCCCTGGTTCCCAGCTAATGACCCCAGGCGGTGAGGAAGCTCAAACCTCCACAGGCTCCACCCCAGGCTCTGCCTCTCGTTCCTGGCCTCTGTCCCACGGCACTGTAGGGCATGAACCCCTGGTTCTGCCCTGGTCAGGCCACCCCAGCCTGGCCCTGAGCACACAGCCACCCTAACCAGCATCAGCTGGAGGCAAACTCCAGCCCCTGCTTGATGCCACATTCTGTCCCTGCCTGGCTCTGGGTCACAGAAGGTCCTGAGTGACAACCCTCCCATGGCCGCAGGCCCAGGAGCCTCCTCGAATGCGAGTCCGTGCCTAGTGCTGTCCTGCTGGCCCCTGGTGGAAGCCTCAGTTTCCCTCCCTGTAAGATGGGGTCACGGCAGCATGTGTCCACAAAGCCACTGTGCCCGGGGCCTGGCCCATGGCGTGCTGGCAGCCGCACTGGGCTTGGCTCTCTCCTCACACACGAGCTGGGCAAGGCAAGCTGCACACAGACCAGGCAGGGAGGGCCGTGCGTCCCGTTCCTCGCTCCTCGGTGGGGACAGTGTCTCGCCCTGAGTCCAGGCCTCTGTCCTGTGCCTGCAGGTGGCCGGGTCCTACAGCTTCCCCTGGTGCAGGCAGAGGATGCCGGGAGGTACTCGTGCAAAGCCTCCAATGAGGTGGGCGAAGACTGGCTTCACTACGAGCTGCTGGTGCTGAGTGAGTGGCCCCACGAGGGCTCCGTGTGAAAGGGCCCAGCCCGTGCTTCAGCCCCACCAGAGCCAGGGGTTCCCAGTGGGGCTGCCTGCTTGGGCTCACATCTGAGCTTGGCGCTTCCTGGCTGTGTGACTCCTTGGTTCAGCCAGACCTGGGAGGGCTTGGTGAGCCGCATGCAGAGCCCCAGCCAGTGCCCGGCACCTGGCACCGTGCCTCACCTGCCTGTATCTGCCCAGCCCCGCCTGTGATCGTGGGTGACACCGAGGAGCTGGTGGAGGAGGTGACCGTCAACGCCAGCAGCACTGTCAGCCTGCAGTGCCCGGCCCTGGGCAACCCGGCGCCCACCTTGTCGTGGCTGCAGAACGGGCTGCCTTTTGCCCCGAGCCCGCGGCTGCAGGTGCTGGATGACGGGCGAGTCCTGCAGGTAAGGATCCTGCCGCCCCAGAGGCTCTCAGCCTAGCGGGCTCAGAGCCACCATGGGAAGTCGGTGGCCTCGGACGGAGCCTGGCCACATGGAAGGCACCAGGGACACCTACTTCAGCCACCTTATCCCCACATGGGGCTGTGTGGGACCCCAGGGGCCGGCACAGCCCCCAGCAGTGACACCCAAATGTCACACAAAGCCCCAGAGGGGGTCCTTATGGAGACCCCTCCTGTTTTGTGTGAGCCCCTGGGGTCATGAAGGTCACTTTCAGGGTGGCTCCCCCAGGTGTCCACCGCAGAAGTGGCCGACACTGCCAGCTACATGTGTGTGGCGGAGAACCAGGCGGGCTCTGCGGAGAAGCTGTTCACCCTCAGGGTCCAAGGTGAGAGGGCTGAGGGGAGGCCAGGAGGTCCTGTGTCCTGCCCCAGGGGACCCTGATCACTCACTAGTGGCCCGACCCTGATGTTCGTAAGCAGCAGTGGAGGCGGCCGGGGATGTCCTTTTCCAGGCCACCCAGCACCTGAGTTGAGCGCTTGCTGTGTACGTGTGCCTTTCCTGGGCAACCCCTTCCTGTACAGCTGGGGAACACTCAGAGGGGGCCCGAGTCGGGGGGGGCACCTCAGCACCCCAAATCCACCCTCAGTCACGGCAGCCTCGGGAGCTCAGATGTGGGACAGCTGTGGCCTCGGGGATGGGAGTGGACAGTGCTGAGCACTGGGTTGGTGCTCTGGCCCTGCCGCTGACTGCTGTGCAGCCCTGAAGAGTGCCTGCCCCTCTCTGGTCTCCAAGCCCCTGTTCGCTCATGGTTTGGGGAGCTTTCTGAGATGTCTTTGCCCTCGGGGTCTCACCCCTGCCCTCATCCATCTTCACGTCCTACTTCTTCCCTGTGGCCGCGGGGACAGTGCCACCGCGAATCACGAGCCACAGCCCGGAGCAGGTCACTGCCGTCCTCAACAGCAGCGTCTCCCTCCCCTGCGAAGCCCTGGCGCACCCGCGCCCCGAGGTCACATGGTACAAAGACACCGAGGCCCTCCCCCTGGGGAAAGAGGTCTTCCTCCTGCCTGGTGGGTAACAGGCTTCCCCGAACCTGGGACAGGCTGTGTGTCTGGGAGGGATCGCAGGTGGGCGGCTGGGGCTGGTATGAGGGGCTGGCTCCCCACAGGCACCCACACACTGCAGCTGCCCCGGGTGCAGCCCTCAGACTCTGGGACCTACCTGTGCGAGGCCCTCAACACAGCCGGCCGTGACCAGAGAGCGGTGCAGCTCAGCGTGCTGGGTACGTCCTGTGCCCGCCCGCCCGCCGTGCGCCGCTCCCTCGGGCGGCAGAGCCAGTTGGAGGCGGGGAGAGGCCTCTGGGTGGGTGGGACACCCCAAAAGGATAGCATCCCGTGGCACCATCTGCCACCGAGCTCACAGCGACACTCTCAGAGCTGCACAAACCCCGGCTGGGAGCTGGCCCTGGGCCCCGGGGCAGGTTTTCGTCCCTCCTGGGGCCCTGGCTGTCCTGTCTGTTGCCTGCTGGCCCGATGCACGGCTCGTGGGAAGCTTTGACTCTGGTCCAGTTGAGAGGGATCAGTGAGATGGACCCCACAAGCCAGGCCCAGGAAGGGGCCCTGCCTTCCCAAGCACAGGTGGTCGCAGACTCTCAGCATGGGAACCACAATGGCTCATGGCCTCTGGAATCCTCTTAGGGGAAAGCTGGTCCCAAAGCTGGTCCAGTTGAGAGGGATCAGTGAGATGGACCCCACGAGCCAGGCCCAGGAAGGGGCCCTGCCTTCCCAAGCACAGGTGGTCGCAGACTCAGCATGGGAACCACAATGGCTCATGGCCTCTGGAATCCTCTTAGGGGAAAGCTGGTCCCAAGGTCACCAGCCAGGGCTCTGGAAGTCTCTCCGTAGCCCTGAGCTGGTTCGTTCACTCACGGGCTCACTTGCTGTGTGCTGGATGCCACACCAGGTCCTGTGGTCTCAGAGTGGAGGACAGGGCTGCATCCATTAGCCAGACTGACAGGGCAGCAGGGGCCCCACGGAGGGCTCTGCCCAGCTTGCAGGAAGGAGCCCAGGAGGGCTGTGAGCAGCTCCCTGTCTTGGATGCTGAGGCCTAGGGAGGTGCGAGGTGTGAGGCTGCCTCTACCACTCAGCAGGTTCTGGTGTGCTGCCTTCGCTTCCCTCGCTCCGGGCCCAGTTCCCTGTGGGACCCTGCGGGGCCTCCGTTGGTGTCACCTGTGGGACGGCTTAGGAGGACTTGGGAGGCCCCGGCGAGTCACTGGGCTGTCTCGTGTCCCCAGTCCCCCCTGAGGCCTAGGGAGGTGCGAGGTGTGAGGCTGCCTCTACCACTCAGCAGGTTCTGGTGTGCTGCCTTCGCTTCCCTCGCTCCGGGCCCAGTTCCCTGTGGGACCCTGCGGGGCCTCCGTTGGTGTCACCTGTGGGACGGCTTAGGAGGACTTGGGAGGCCCCGGCGAGTCACTGGGCTGTCTCGTGTCCCCAGTCCCCCCCACCTTTAGGATCTCCGGGCCCAGTTCCCTGTGGGACCCTGTGGGACCCTGCGGGGCCTCCGTTGGTGTCACCTGTGGGAGGGCTTAGGAGGACTTGGGAGGCCCCGGCGAGTCACTGGGCTGTCTCGTGTCCCCAGTCCCCCCCACCTTTAGGCTGGCTCCTGATAGCCCCCAGGAGACCGTCCTTGTCCGGGCCGGGGACAAGGCCATCCTGAACTGTGAGACAGACCCACCCCTGGAGCCGGTTGTGACCTGGTACAAAGACCAGCAGCCCCTGGCCCTGGAGCCACGGATCCGGGCTGTGCAGGGCTCACAGAGGCTGGAGATCTTGGTGTCCCAGGTGGGTGGCCATGGGCAGAAGGGCAGAGGTCTGGGAAGCGGGTGGCAGGTGTGTGGCCTCCGGGTGGAGACCCAGGAAACATGTGGTCTCCCGAGAGTCAGAGCCCAGCCCCATGCCTGCACTGACCTGCCCTGGGCAGGTTCCTTCCCTGCTGCCGCCTCAGTCCCCCCAGATCTAGACGTTTTCTCCGGGTCCTTCTTGCTGGGATCTGTGGCTCCCAGGACTCTGTCCCATCCTCCCGCCCTCTCCGGTGTGGGTCGTACACCCTGAAGGGTTTGTTGCAGGAATATTTACTTTCATCCTGAAGTCCCCCTGGGCCCTGTCTCCTGGCCCAGCTCCAACCCTAGAGAGGGGGGCCTGGCCCCAGGTTGGGGCCCTGTTGGGGGAGCCTGTGTACTCACTTGCCGGGACCCTTCTTCCTCGTGAGGCTCTTGAGAAAGGCCCGAAGGTCCTGTCTCCCTTTAGCTCCCTAGGCAGAACTGGTAGATTTGGGGAGCCCCTGCCCTTGAAGGCTTCTGGGACTTGGATCTTTTAGGGGATCCCTCACCCCAGCTCCACACACCCCATCACCACACGCTCTTCTTGTCCCAGGTGTCAGACAAAGGTTCATACAGCTGTACAGTCAGCAGCGCCGCTGGGGAGGCCACGCGGACCTTTGTCCTCACTGTCCAGGGTAAGCTGAGCCCAGTGCAGCCAGGAGCCCACCCCAGCAGCACCTGGGCTAGAAAGAGGAAGTGGTGCTGCAGGTTATGAGCACAAGATCTGGACATTAAAAGAGCAGGATCCTAAAGGGTTCTGCCAAGACCAGCTTTGTGGGGTTACTTGGGTTCATCACTGGTCAGGCATCACCGGTAGGAGCAGGGCTTGCTGGCTGGGCACCCTGGAGGCACCGGAGTGCTGGGCACAAGGCCTGGCACTGGGTACTGGATGAAGCCTGAGACACCAGGCACTCGGAGCCCTGGGGCCACCTCTGTCCTGAGCCCCGAGGGCACCATGTCATCAGCCCAAGGATGGAACATAGAAGGGTGGCATACAGCTGGACACTGGACACGTATCTCAAGCTGGGTGGAGAGGAGCGGGCTAATCAGTCTGGGGAGTTGGCTAGGTTTTCTGGGGTCAGATATGTGTCAGGTAGTGTATAGATCTAGCCGTGTAACAAAAGTCTCCAAAGTACAGTGGATTAAATCAGAGAGAAGTTTCCTCTCGGGCAAAAGCCTAGAGGTGAGTGTCTGGGTTAGTGGGGTCCCCCGACTCAGGAGAACCCACCCAGATTCCTTCTATCTTGCCGCTCCTCCATCTCCAAGGGTGCTGACCCTGTTTATGTGGTTGAAACCAGAACACACTGCATCCTATCCCTAACCACAGGAAGCAGAAAGGACCAGAAGCAGAGGCTGGCATTTGTGTTAAGCAGAAGTGTATCTGTCTCTTCTGTGCACAAGAGCTCAGGCATCTGGCCATGTGCTGCAGGGGAGGCTGGGAATTGTAGTTTTTCCTTGCACAACCAAATGCTCAGCTAAGATTCTGCTGTGCATGATGGGAAAATAGGCTGGAGGGGTACCCCATCTACCAGCAGCCTCTCAACCAGGGAGCAGCAGGTATATCCCATCCTGAGACATACTGAATATTCTTGAAAATGATCAATACTAGGCTTGCTGCCCCAAGTGCACAGCTCTCCCCATGAACAGGGGGAAGTTGGGGATCTGTGGTCCTGGAGGGCAAAGATGGTTTGCCTCGAGCCCAGCATACACTGTTCCACTTGTAATGCCTGCTTGGGTGCATGACTTTATCCTGGATGAGCAGAGAATGCTGGGATTGATTCGTGATGTCTGCCCTGGGACAGTCAAGGGCTGCTGCTGTGTGAGCCATGCATTCACTATTCTGGGCTCTGCTTTGTAAATGCTCTGAAACAGCCAGCTGGTGCTTATACCTACATCTGTGAATAAAACAATTATCACCATCAGTGGCGGAGCATAGAATGTGAACTCCTGGCTCCAAGGAAGGGCTTGCTGATCTGCCTGAGACAAAGGGAAGGGGCAAGTCCCAGGATTCCAGGAATGTGGCTTCTTTCCTGCAGCGCCCCCAACATTTGAGAACCCTGAGACAGAGACAGTGAGCCAGGTGGCTGGGAGACCCCTGGCCCTGACCTGTGATGTATCTGGGGTCCCTGCGCCCACCGTGACTTGGCTGAAGGACAGAATGCCTGTGGGTGAGTCTGACATGTCCTTCTTAACTCTTGAGTGCAGGGGCTGGGGTTTAGCTCAGTGGTTCCACCTCCTGCCTTGCAAGCACAAGGACCCAAGTGTGATCCCTGGTACAAGAAAAACAAACAAACAAACAAAAAAAACTACTTTGGATGGAGATTTTCACTGGGTGTGGTGGCTCACACCTGTAATCCCAGCAGATTACTCAGGAGGCTGAGGCAGGAGGATCGCTGTGAGTTCCAGACCAGCCTGGGCTACATAGTGAGTTCCAGGTCAGTCTCAACTATATAGTGAGACCCTGTCTCAAACAAAACAAAACAAAACAAAAAATCTCTTGAATGCAGAATACTGTTTTATTCAAGACAATGATAATGAAGACAGAGGAATTTGTTGGCTGTTACTCCCATCAGAATCGGAAGGCAGGTTCCATTAGAGGCCCTGCCCACTTGGAGGCCCATCCCCTTTCCTTCTGACTTTGATTGGCTCTTAGACTCTGGACCTCAGGAACCACTCCCTTCCTTCACCCTTCCTGCAGGCTCCCAGAAGACCAGCTCTAGAGGTTCTAGACTGGAATGGTGCTATGTGCCTGTAGCCCCAGCACTCTGGGAGGCTGAAGTAGGCGGATTGCAAGTTCAAGCCCAGCCTGGGCAATTTAGCTTAGCAAGACCTTGTCTCATAAAAGGGCTGCAGGTGAACTTCAGCGTGCAGACCTTGGGTTCGAGCCCCAATAGCACAGGGCTGTTTGTCGCTCAGCACATTCCAGGGGGACAGCCGGGTGGGTGGGTAGAGACAGCTGCCGGGCAGAGCTGCAGCTGGAGGAAGGAAGGGGCAGCGGCTCAGCTCATGGGCCAGTGAGGCGCTCTTTCACCTTGACCAGAGCCTTGATAGCTGCGGTGAGGGGTGGAGGTGGGGCCTGAGCCCAGGTCCCGGATCCTTGAGGGCACAGGTCCCTGGGGAAGAAGTGTCCCCGGTGGAAGGAAATCGGAGGCCCTTGTAAGGAACAGAGCAGTCAGAGACGAGGCTGAGGAAGGCCCCGCTGCTGGACCTCAGTTTCCCTGCGTACAAGAAGCAGGCGAGGGATGCAGAGCCCCTGCCCGGTCCCGCAGAGAGCAGCGTGGTGCACGGCGTGATCTCCCGGGGTGGCCGCCTGCAGCTGAGCCACCTGCAGCCCGCCCAGGCTGGCACCTACACCTGTGTGGCTGAGAACGCCCAGGCCGCAGCCCGCAAGGACTTCGCGGTGGCCGTGCTGGGTAAGTCTGTGCCCTGTGACTCCTCCCGGAGCCTCTGCCCGTGGCGCCCACCTCACCACACCCCTTGCCGCAGAGGCTCCCCGGATCCGGAGCTCGGACGCCCCAAGGGAGCACAGCGTGCCGCAGGGCCAGGAGGTGCGGTTGGACTGCGAGGCCCA